CACACACACACACACACACACACACATACTCCTAGCAGCCTCAGGCAATGTTGCAGGGATCTCTAACTGTCAAACCTATTTTTAACGGATGCTAGTCCCTCAAGATGAACGCCGTTAGCATTCTATACAATGTTTCTGACTGTGCACGACTATTAATGCCAGTACGTTCATAACATTCTGAAATCATGAGCTCCAATGGTATCAAAGTCGGTAGTGCACGTCGACTTTTTTGGGACAGTGTGATGAAATTCCCGGCAATGAAAAGGAAAGTTTTAAGCAAGATCTTACGCTGCAGTAGACAGTTTTTTAACATGTTTTTAATGAAGACACTGAATGAAGGGAACTCATTGAAATGAGAGATCCGAGTAAAGCCAAGTTGCAAAATACCAAAAGTTAGATGGTGAAACATTGCAGCAAATGACATCAGTGAAGCTCCATGAAATGCCTAAAAAGTGTTTCGGCTAAAATCGGACCACCTTATTTCATCAAAAAGAGGCTTACTTGAAATCCTCAACACGTAAATAAAACAAAAAAAATGGAGTCCCCTGACTCAAGAATGCCTGGTCCTCTACAGCTGGACTCTCTTTGAGGATTCAGTACTTGCACTAAAATCTTGATCGTAAAGTAGCAGTACTGTAGCTGGAATTTCCCATTTTTCTCCAAGCAGCAGCGGCTCTTTGAGTTCACGTTATAGACTAAAATTGAACAATTAATAATACAATTCAGCCTTGAGACTTTTAATGTCTGAGCTGAACAGAAAGAAAGTTCACGTTATAGACTAAAATTGAACAATTAATAAAAAATTCAGCCTTGAGACTTTTAATGTCTGAGTTGAACAGAAAGAAAGAAAAAAACACATTCTGAGAAATGCTGAAGTTTAACTTGAAATGATGTCTCCTCATTCTTCTTTAACAGCCTTCCTTTCAGCAGACTTTGAACTCGTCTTTGGAGAATTATTCGTGACTTTTTTTAGGACGACTTTGCCCTTTTCCTTCATCCTTTTTCAAAGTCATTCCAGGCTGAAAATGTCTTAGAGGTTCTTATCATCCGAGCTAAGTCCAATACTTCACATGTTCTTCACCCAATACGTGGCACCACATGCATTTCCTTCTTTTCTTTCCCTGCGCTTCGAAAAATCATAAAAGAGCAGCTTTCACATTTCCCAAAGTTTGTCCTATTGCTGTTCTTCCTCCACCTCCTCTGACATTTACAACACGTGGTAGTTGCCCGAAAGGTCATTTCCATTTCCTCCTTTTGACTTGCAGCCTCTTCTTCACTCATTTCCTCTCAATTCTGTTAACGAAGTAATCACAGCAGGACCTCATCCAAATTGGGTTTACGATTTTATTCCTCCCTAAATCGCCACGATAGACTGTGAAATGTTTTCTTGGACATTGAACAGGTATCAGCGTGCTCATAACTGAAGTCCTCACGAGGGACGCGGGCGTGCTGGAGGTTACCCCACATATCTTTGGGCCGTAGGCGGGGTGCGCCCTGAACTGGTTGCTAGCCAATCGGCAGTGCTTCAGGCATTCCTCTCTGGAGTTTGAATAGTTGAATGAAGTATGAACATTTCTTGCTTGAAGTCAGCCCTCATAGGCTTCCAGTAACCAGAACACCTCGTCCTTTCGCCCACATTTTTTGGAGCTGAGTAAATTCCCTTCTGTTCCTTTTTATATTTCATCCAATTGTCTCTGCGATGCTAATTTGTCTGTTTCGAGAGAGGATGGTTTATCCGAATTGTCCTTTTACAGGATTTAATTAGTGATGTTGTTCAACAGCACTGGGATATGATGAGATTTTTTATTGTACTTCATTATGCTACAGATTGACTTTATCTGTTTTGGTTGTACACATCAAGAAGGGGCACATAATAAAAAACAGATTGATGTGTGCCCATACAGGAAAATTGCATTTGTGCACAAATTAATTCAAGCAATATAATGCTCTATTAATTATTTAACAACCTTGAAGCAAATGCAGGGGTGTGGGGGCGATGTGCTAAAGTGTATAACAAAATGCACCTTACAGAATGAATAATGTATTCTATTCAAATGTGCAGTATACTGTATACTGTCGCTCAAAGAGCCACGTGGTCACCAACTGCATCATGATAGCCAATACGAGAGCTGTATCAAATACATCGCAGGTAAAACGTGTTCAGTTTGATTGACATTATCAGAGACGCATCACAATCATTGTGTAGTTTGCTGTGGGGGAGAACTGGATTGCCTCACGAGGGCAAATGCTGTAGTCGTTGTGTTCATATTGATGGTGGGAAAGGAAAAAAAAATCATGCACACGCTCTCACGGGAGTGTTCGGAATCATCTGCAATGTCCTAGTGGAACTTTAATCCACTCCAACGTGACCAAGAGGCAGCAGCACTCCTCTCCAGCAGAGAGCAGTATTATTCCATATGGAGGAGACGGAAGCGTGAGACGTTGGAAAGCAGTTCTGCACAAGTACAGTATTTGGAGCACTCTAACAATGACTTATATATTCAAACAAATATAGTGTTGCCTATAAACTAGGTTTTAAAATTATGGATGTTATGCTGTATTAGAAGGTTTTTTTTTTCTTTAAGGGGTAATGAACAGTATCATACAAATGTTTTGAGGAAAATATCTTTATTCATCTTTGCAAAAAGCTGCATAAGTCTTTCTCTTAGTGACTGCTTACCAATGTCACGCGAATGATAAAGCGCAAAAAAATATGTAATGAAATAAAGAACTGAAATTGAATCATGAGAGCCTGATGTAATTACCTCATGCTGAGAAGCACTGATTAGCAGCAAGATTATTGACACACTTAGTTTCTGCGTGAGAAAAAACATCTATTAACGCTGCATAAATAAAATGCAAACATTTCCTATGACTCTGTGAGTGCTTATTCCAAGAAGGCAAAACAAAAATAAAAATAGAAAACAGGCATATCATCGGAAGTTGATAAACAGTACTGTATACACAGGAGCAATGCAGCCTTGAAAAAGCTTCCACTCAGTGACATGTCATTACTCAGTCCATGTCATTGTCCTGAATCTAGAGCTATTTTTAGCTCGCAAGGCCTAAAGGTGAGCAAAAGAGCGTCTAATCGTAGGCACATCAATGCTGCCCTCTGCACTTAATTGCAAGACCAAGTTTACAAAATTAACAGTTCAGTCAATCCCAGCAAAAGTGAGCTATAACGGTTGAAATGCAACCCCGAAAGAAGACAACATCCTGAGACTCTGCCGAAAAAACTTGGCATTTTTCAAATCACCAGAGCAAAGGTCGTTCACTATGGCAGAAAATAACAGACCAATGAACATTTATTTCCTCAATCTCTTAATTGGGGTGCCATGATCACCTCGCTGGGCCCCAGCAGCTTTTGGATGCAACACAATTGCATCATCCTCTCTCGACTGCTGCTTGGCAAAATTCACAAACACCTAGAAAGAAACACAGACTTGTGTTTGATTGAAAAAAAAAAATACATGTAAATGTGTTACAAAAACCCATTCAAAACGGAAAATCGGTTTTGAATTGACGCACCGAATCGAATCACTACATGATCAAATTGTAAAACATTTACACTCTTGAATCGTATCACACCCTATGTCTCGAGATACGGATCAAATTGTCTTTCATGAGCGATGTCTACCTGAGATACAAATCCGTTAGACGTCGCGGATGATTTTACGTTTCTTTGAATTGAATGAACTTGGATAGATTGGGTTTGGCACATGAATAAACATGACAAAAGCTACAACCGTACCATATCAAAACGAATCGTAATCCCACTGACACCCTTGAGTATCGTATCATACCTCGAGAATAATATCGAATCGTCTTTTGTGGGGCGACACTCCCACAACACACATATATACATTTATAAATATATATTTGTTTTTATTTTCCAACCGTGTTTTACCTGATCGAGAGTTGTCTGTGACACCGAGTAGTCCTCGATGTTGAGCTTGTCTTTGTTAGCAAGGACCATCTGAAAGATCCTTGCCAGGGAGGAGGAGGCGATCTTGTACTGCAGGGTGTTGTAGTGTTTTTCTCTCTGGATGCAGCCAGGGAAGGTGCTCTCCATGAAGGCTTCGGCCGGGTTCAGATCCGGTGCACCGCCTCCCTTGGGGGCCCTGATCTTCATGGTCACCACATATCCATCGCCAAATCTGTGTTTTTAACATTCAGGCAAATCAAGTCATTCAAAGATAGCTGACTGAAAGCTAACTGACATGATTCAATATGTGCGGACTGCTTGCATAATCCAGTGACAATAGAAGAACAGTCTCAGGTTGTATTGTAACATTATCAGATGGTACTATTTAGCTTCATGAGGGCCAAACTAATATTCATGATGTTTACAACAGTTAAAAAAAATGTAACAACAATGCTAATACTAATTATATATTTTTTAAAAAGACCTACTTGTATTTGAGCTGTTGAATGGTTCCTAGACATTTAAAAGATCCATTAACCATGATGGCCAAACGTGTGCACAAGGCCTCGCATTCCTCCATGCTGCGATGGGACAACAACCATGAAGAAATCCGTGCACACCAAAGTTGATCAATACACACATTGGCGTTTACCTGTGCGAGGTGAGAACAACAGCTCGTCTGTCCCGGATCACACTGACGATGGAGCTCCAGAGGAAGCGTCTGGAGAGTGGGTCCATCCCAGTGGTGGGCTCGTCCTTGTGGTGCATGAAGGAACGCACACAATCACCAAACAATACAGCCAAGTTTGCTCAAGTATGTCGGACGGCCATGTTGTTTTGGGGCTCACCAGCAACACCAGGGCAGGGCAACCAATCATGGCGATGGCTGTGGATAGTTTCCTACGATTCCCTCCGCTGTAGGTTCCGGCACTTTGGCCCGCATACTCGGACAGGCCCAGTTGTTGAATGGCCCACTCAGCAATCTATACAATCAGACTTCAATCATTCAAGATGAACGGGCAATGTGAGTAATGACTGTTTTACATCACAGGGCACATGATGTAAAAGTGTAAAAGTGCTTTTATTGTTTTGATGGTCACTGACTTTTTTTTCTCCACATGCTGCTCTCTTGACATATTAGAGAGATTAGATGGATTACAGTGAACTTTGCTGTTTTGGTGCCAAAGCCATGTCTAAAGTAAAATGCTGCTAAGCTACTATGTTGATGTGAGAGGAATAGCTTCATTTAGTCATGCTAGAAAAAGGGGGCTTCGCCGCAATCTTGTGGCATGTGTATGCAATTAAAATCATTTTTGGGTGGATGTCAGTCACTTTCCCCCCATCCTGAAGACCGTAACTTCCTTATATGCCTCCTTTAAATGATGAACCGTAGTTTAATAGTTTTGCATGTAGGTTTTAAGTCCAGCAACACCTCTCACCCTACTGATCTCAGCTTCTGGTACCCCGCGGAGGCGAGCATAAAGATGAAGGTGTTCCCTTCCTGTGAGAAGTTCATCGATGGCGTCAAACTGTGGGCAGTATCCCATGTTCTGGTGGACATCCAGTATGTTGGTCAAAATGCTGACGGGCAAAAGAGAAAAAAGAAATAAATAAGACACTCACACAAAGTTATCGATGTTTCGGTCAAATGGAGACCTAAGAGTGGAACCGAAGAGCAAAAAAATAAATAAATATTCAGCTCTTATGATATGTATGTACACAACAAACCTGTGACCAGCGATTGAGGCATCTCCTGTGGTGACATCAATGTCTCCAGTCAACATCTTAAATGTGGTGGTCTTCCCGGCGCCATTCACCCCCAGGAGACCAAAACACTGGCAATCAAGAGAAATAAAACACATGACATGGTGTGCATTGATTCTTTCTTTTTTTCATTGTGTCATTGACGATACAAACCTCTCCTGGTGACACGCCGATACAGATCTGATCCACCGCGGGCGTAATGGTTCCTGTGTATATCTAGTTTGGAGCAAAAAAGAGCAAAAATATGTTTTCATATTACTACAGTGTGAAGAAAAAATGAATAAATTAGCAAAAGAGTGAGCAAGAGATGAGAAACGGAGCTAATTAACTCTAAAAAAAAAATGAAATGATCTCACCTTAGAAAGGTTGCGTACGTGTAGAATGTCATTCGTTTGCCTGCTTTTATAGATTCTCTCCCTTTCCTCAGCCACATCCAAGTCTTCATCCTGAATGGGAGGCTTTGGGCCATCTGGTATCCTGCCAATGCATAATGTAGACAAAACTCAGTGAGACTATATGACAACTATGACGGCGTGTCGTGTTCAGAGGCCGTGGGACGGCGCCTGGCTTTTCTTAGAAAACCAGAAAAAAACATGTTTAATATTCGTTTGGCGTCCTTTAATCTTACCAGTGATCAAGGAAGAAGCGATACTGACAGAGAATGTTCAAGGTGAAATAGACGAATCCCTCAACTGCCATGCAGACTAAGTTCTTCCCAATGAAGTCCCAGTCATAGGGGTCTGGGCTATGATCCTCACCTAAGGACATATTGCAGGTCAGCGCCACTCGAAACCGGGTGGTCGTTAGCCATGCACAGGAAAGACTACAGGGTGGGGTGGGGGTGGAGGGTTGCATGTGGAATCAATCATTACCAAAACGAGTAAAGATATCAGTCACGGCCTGGTTGATGGCCATGTCTATGAGGCCTCTGCCCAGGCAGTAATGAGGAAAGATGAGCAGCACGCTCTTCAACAGCTGGTTGAACTTGTACAAAGCCTTGACAACAACCCAACACACGTTAAAGTGACAGAACGTAGAGAAGACAGATTTCACAGAACTTAGCTTGTTGATTCTTACCGTGGTGCCTTCAAAAAGGTCCAGGATGAAGGTGATGGCACTGCTGTTGATGCCTATGAAGAGGTTGATACATGACAAGGACACATAGGCCGTGCTGGGGACGCTGAACATGTAGGACATTGGGTACATCATGGGGGTGACAGACCAGCTGAGAAAAACAGAGAAAATACATTTGAAACACACGTTAAAGTGACAGAACGTAGAGAAGACAGATTTCACAGAACTTAGCTTGTTGATTCTTACCGTGGTGCCTTCAAAAAGGTCCAGGATGAAGGTGATGGCACTGCTGTTGATGCCTATGAAGAGGTTGATACATGACAAGGACACATAGGCCGTGCTGGGGACGCTGAACATGTAGGACATTGGGTACATCATGGGGGTGACAGACCAGCTGAGAAAAACAGAGAAAATACATTTGAATTCAAATTCAATTACACAATCATCATTTTTTTTTTTTTTTTTTAAGTGCACGGATTAAGCAAGTAATTACAGAGGGATCTAATACACTCGATTTAACAATCTGACAGACAACAATGGCCGGTTTGGACACTGAACCTGTTAAAGATGAATTAATTTAACTACGTCCATGTTTGTTTATTTTTAACAGCGGCGGCGTTGACCTGCGCTGCATCCTCGTCTTCCTGTCTCAAGTAGTAAACTTTACTTTTCATCCAAACAACAAATCACACATACCCATATAACATAAGTAGTGCAACGAGTGGCTGCAGATTGCTTGGTGAGGTGTAGCACTTCTTATCAAAAAAGATGAAAATTTGCACCACCATCAGAGCACTGACAGAGTAATTCACCTGTAAACACACAGACGATACATTTACGGTTTATTTCGTGACCGTATAAGGACAACCGTCTTGATGCGTGATCACTTTCTAATCGGTACCATGTCCCAGAGAAAGTTGGCCATCCAGTAGATGAGCGGGCTGACACCACTGACGAACTGGAGATGTTTGGCCTGGGTAACCCTTTCCTGGATGAGATAGAGGACAAAACTAGCTGGAACAAAAGACATGGCGAAGATGACACAGATGGCTACCACTGCATCCACCGACGTGTTCAAGCTAGGCAAAAATAGAAACATAAAAGAAAGAAAAGACGGCAAAACATCAAAACTCACACATTCTTGGGTACCGGATGCAAAGTGCCCACTTACACCGTGATTTCAGATAGCTGCTCTTTGGTGAGGTTGAGAGGGTGGTTGATGGCCGTGATTCCATATTGATCCAGTTTGGCTCCTTTTGGCAGGTTTGCGCGCAGGATAGCGTTGTTGGCCACGTTCATGAAGGACACCATGGCGTGCCAGCCCTTGTTGTTGTACCACACCTGTGCAAGGATTGACTCCAGCTCCAGAAGACATACAGCAAAACCACGAGAAATATCACGCCGATGACTTGCCTTCACATTGTCCCGCGTCTCCATGTACCTGAGGAACGTGCCTATTTCCCTCAGAGTTTGTTTACAGTGGTCACCCTGCAAAAATAACAATCAAATACAAATAAAGCTGAATCATCAGCATCGTTCCATTTGTGTATATTTGATACGTGGGTGTGTTTAGAATCTAGGCGATACACCATATGATTTAATACATAATCAGACTATTTCAAGACATCACCCCAGTAATATTGAGCATTTGTCCCAGTTGAGCGGCTGAATCCTGGATGTCCTTTGGCTGGAGCTCTAAAACGGGAAGCTGCCCTCCGACGGATATTCCTCCATATCTGGAAACCACAGAGAGAATGCTCAGCTTCACCGTCACTTCAGCCTGCTTGCAGATCCAAATTGCATTGAACACTCTACACCGGGAGAGGGCGAATTCTACCATTGCCCCTAATGCAAAGTGAAACATGGTACAGTACTCAAAGTAACCTTGTTTTATTTAAATGTCAACATATACAAAGTCTATTACCTTTGTTCGTTCACCCAATATTTGCTCTTTAAACTGAAAAGAAAAAAAAATGACATGCAGATTCTTAAATCTCAGTTCAGGATTTTCCAAAGTAGTGATAGACATTTTGGGTAAACACCTAGTCCTGATGAGACCGGGGTACGTTTTCACCAGGTAGTCTGAGATGTTCCTACCGGTTAGATCCAAGAGAACATCTCCTGTTGACTGAATTCTCTGATGCACAAAGACAGAATGACACGTCAAGCGAAAGCTTCCGGACCAACGACTATTCTGAGCTCTCTGTGACGCCGACCTGTGGGGGCGGAAGACCTCCAGCGCCTTCAGGGCATGTGGGCAGCATGGTGAGTTTCTTGTCGGTGCTGCACTGGCAGTCTGGAGACGGTCTGACGGATTTCCGCTCTGGGTCAGCCAGCCTCTCGATCGCTGAGGGGTTAACCGGGAGCATCTCCCACTCGGTGGTGATGTTGTTACATGGGAAATCTCTAGCGGGGACACAAATTGACCCATGTGGTTAAACAAAAGAGCAAAGAGCCTGACGTTTATAAGATCAAGTGGGATTTATAGACGGAATTAATTAAGTTTTTGTTGTCGTGTCACCACCGAGGCAGGCGGGGGGGGGGCTATTAAGTCACAATGGTCCTCCAAAGGTCTTTAAATATCATGCGGCCACAATAAAAGTGTGACATTTACTTACTCGAGCGGCTCATCCGCCATGCAGCGTGTCCCAAAGCCCGGCCTGTCCAGCAACACTTCACCCAAATTTCTCATCTGAGCATCCAAAGGACGTTCATTACTACAGTGGACAAAGTGAAAACATGACCAAAAGGATTTACCATTGGAGATGCTCGGATTTAAAAATGTAACTGAAATAGCGTGCTTTTAAATTCATTGATGATGAGTCCTATGAGCTTTTGACCAAACCATGACTTTGTTCCCTGTCCGACAAGCATTGGTCTCACCTGAAGAAAGTGTACTGTCGGCCATATATCCAAGGACTTAGAGTCACACTTGGATACTCCCCAAATGGTGGAACAATCAGCGTGAATGTCAGTGCCAGGAAAACAAAACTGGCGGGTAAAACAATCTGACAGACAGAGAGAATTCAAACTCACTCAAAACCGCATGCTCTTTACAGACGACTTCACTTCTGAACTGCTATTCTGTATTAAATGCAAAATACAAATGGGGAAGCTGGATGGAATGCAGCGACGTTACCTGAGCAAAAAAGTCTTTGCAGGAGCGGGTGGTGTGGTGCAACCTCTTAATCAGCAGCGCACAGAACTGCTTAATGGCCAGACACAGACCTTTGACCTGATACGACCCGCGACCCGCGTTGCCTTCAGGACCATCACATGGGCCGGTGTCCAAAGGGTCTTCTGAGTCTGGAACGTAGCGCCAAGGTCAGGTAACACATCTGCACATGTTGCATTTATGATGGACTACAGCAGGCTCGTCGGCAAGCAGCGGAGGTTTGGTGACTTTTGCTCAATCGGGGAGCTAAATGCATTGTGCAATGCATGTTGACCAGCGTTGCACTGACAGGAGTGCGAAAGCCTAACCTGCAGCAGGCTCAGCACACGTACCCGAGGTAACACTTTTAAAAAGAAACGCAGTGTATGCAGCACAATGTTTTCCCTGTTGCATGCATTCATTTGCAGCTAATACATTAGCACAACAAGGCTAACAGTCCTCTTTTGTATGACGTGCGAGTTTGCGCTTCTTCCCGAAAGCAGCCGCGGCATCTCTTCAGAAGCTGGAAGCCAAATTCTACTGTCACCTTCAGGTGGCTCCATAGCAATCGCCACTCTGTTGAATCCACAGAGGCTAGCTCGAGAAATCTGCTGCACTGATTTAGTGTCTGAGAGAGGCACACAACGAGTTATAAAGGGGAAAGGGATTGAAATATTAGGATGTGGATAGAAGAAAACAATGCCTTACCTTGAATGCATTTCGTGTTGCTTGCATATCCATCAGCAGTGACTTTTAAGAAAATCTACAAAAAAAAAAAACAAACATCAAATATATTCTGAATGCACAAGATAGATAGAACCATTTAATGTTTTTGGGCAATGACATAACATTCTTCCTTCATTGTATTTCTGTCCCAGCTGAAAAAATTCCACAGACACTAGCATGTCAACAATGCTTTCCTTGAAACATTTACGCAATCATATTTTTCATACATATCAACCCGAGTGTGAAGGCATGCGCATTCGTCCCCAAGAGCACGACACAATCAAGATAGCCTCATGAAGCCTGGCGGAAACCTGTGATGTACCTCTTCCAACGACGCGTCGGACACGCCAAAGCTGCTGAGGCCGATGTCCTCCAGGGTTTCCTCCAGCTCCCTGAAGAGGCTGGCGTAGGCCCTCGGTTGGAAGTCATGAGCGGGAAGCAGATAGGTCATCTCTTGGCCAATGGCCTCAATCAGATGAGCCTGAGGCACATGATGATGCACCAGGGCCGTGATGCGGTCGATGTTACCTGGAAATGCAAAATATCTGGGTGTGTTGTTGTAGTTCTATGGATGTATTGAAGGGAACGTGTTACCGGTATGACTGCTGTCTGAGTTTAAAGCAGACTTTACCGTCCATTTGTCTGTGTGGAGCCAGACCGTCTTCTTGATTTACTTTAAACTTCAGGCACTTGGAGCACTTACAGGAACAGTTTTTGGTACAGACATCACCATCCTACAGGAGAAGGTGGAAGAAGAGATAGGATGGTTTGGATGGAAAAAAAACTGGCATTATTCTCCAAGTCTAATCCGCTTAAAATAAACATACAGTCATCCTACAGGAGAAGGTGGAAGAAGAGATAGGATTGTTTGGATGGAAAAAAAATTGGCATTATTAAAATAATCATACAGTTTCCGATTCGCCCGTCTTCGAAGCGCCGTATTTCATTCTTCGCACAAGAGTGAGGTAGAAGCCGGCACCAAAGCAATTCTTGAGAAAGATTGGGGAGCCGCAGCAGTAGAGACGCCCCTGGGAGATGATAGCGACCCTGTCACTCAGCAGGTCGGCCTCATCCATGTGGTGGGTGGACATGATCACTGTACAACCTGAAAAAAAGGGCAGAGTAGGGGAAAGGACAACGGGTTAAGGTATGGACATTTGTGAATGAATGTAGTGCATCGAGCTGCTGTCAGTTAGAAAAAGTGGTCATGGTAGTGGAGTTTTCTGAAGCGCATCATACACGTCAGCAATACTGTATAATTTGAACCAAATATGGTATTTGTGACTCGTTTTTAGTCGTTTCTCTCTTTTTTATTTTTATATGAAACATATTGACCATGAAAAATAAAATAAAATAAATATATACTTTAGTTTTGGTGCAGCCTAACAAAATCCATAAATGAATTTTTCGTCTTAACTTCAGCAAAGTTCTAATTCACACATCCAACCATTTAAAATGGTTGGATGTGTGAATTAGTCTCTGGGTGACACTGGTAGGGGAAAGGACAACGGGTTAAGGTATGGACATTGTGGACAATCATTGACTGTTGGACACATGAAACATATTGACCATGAAAAAGAAAATAAACATATAATTTAGTTTTGGTGCAGCTTAACAAAATCCATAAATGAGTTTTTCGTCTTAACTTCAAAAGCACATTTATAATGCTTGGATGTGTGAATCAGTCTCTGGGTGATCCAATGAGTGGAATAAGATACAGTCAACGGGTGTCAGATGTTGCTGTATGCAAAATTTATTTAATTTTGGGCGGCAGGTATGAGTGCAAAACGACCCAGTCAACGGGTGTCAGATGTTGCTGTATGTAAATTAACTCTCCCAACTTAACCAATTTTGGACGGCAGGGACCACGGTTACCTGCACGGTATTTGAGCAACAGATCCCATATTGAGCGTCTGGAGTAAGGATCCACCCCGGAAGTGGGTTCATCCAGGATCACCACCTTTGCGCCACCAACAAATGCCAATGCCACAGACAGTTTCCTCTGCATGCCGCCTGAATGAAAACATCGTCATATTGGCAGGACGTGTATACATTGCATACTCAGGCCGATGAACGTAGTTCAAGTATCTGAACCGACCTGACAAATTTTGGGTCAGTTCATCTCTCTTGTGTGGAAGGCCGAGATCCTGGAGCATATTCTCTACCTCCTCCTCAGCCTCGGCTATTGGGCGGCCTTTCAGCAGTGAGTGGAACAGGATATGCTCGGCAACAGTCATACTGTTGCGTCACAGCAGGCAAACACAGATATTGCAATGTTAAATCATGCTGAGCTGTATTTTGGGGCAAATAAAGTCACAAATATAGTTTAAAAACTGGAGAAATTAAGTTGATACACACATTTTTATTTCATTTGGTCACATGTCAAATTAAGATCCCGGGAGGCAGGTTTGGCCTGCCAAACATAATTCTTCTTTCTTTCTTTCTTTCTTTATTTATTTTTTTAAGATGAACTAAGGCCAATAAAGTGTGTTTAATTCACGTTTAATGCTAACTTAACAGAAATTATGTGCAAAAGACTGCCAATTTTCTTCAGTTTATGCAGATATGAAAAGCATTTTTATACATGGACATGATTTTCACAGTCACAATGGCCCTCTGAGGGAAACCAGAACAACAAGGTAGCCCGCGATGAAAACGACACCCCCGAATTAGGTGGCAAATGACATACTACTGAAAAAGAGTGTTGTGCTGTGGGCACATTCCCAGAGACAGACGAATGGTGTCCATGTCCGTGCGGATGTCTTTGCCGTAAATGGAAGCAGTGCCTGAGGTGGGAGGGAACATACCAGTTAAGATGGACCTAGAAGATAGAGGACAAAAAAAAAGAAGGCGTTGGGCGATGAAATATGATCCCCAGCCCACGTGTTGATTTTGGATGCATAATATATCTCGGCGCGACACATACATAGTGGTAGTCTTGCCAGCCCCATTGTGCCCAAGAAAGGCAGTGATCTGGTTCTCGTAGAAGCTCAAGCTGAGGCCGTTCACGGCAGGCTTGGAGCGACTGCCAAACACTTTGACCAGGTTCTGGATACAAACGCCTCTCACCAGGTCAGCTGGTTCTGCCTCAAAGAATGCCTCCCCTAAAAGGTGTTGACAGTGGCAACAATGCTATAACAGTATAACAACACCGAGAGGAGGGAAAAGGTAGAATACTAACGCGAGAAATGTCAGATTCGTACAGATTTTGCCATGGACAAATACAAAGGAGAACGAAATGATCTTAAATTATTTTTTTATATTCGGGATATGATATATGAGAAGCACGTCTGCACACATTTTAGGTCATCTAGTTGAACGGCATGTAAGTCAAAGAACCAAATTGATCCGGTACCATTTGCCTCCTGGTTCTGATCTCGCTGGTCTCTGTGTTCACATGCGTTAGTTTCTTCGACAGTCTTCGGTTTCTCCTGGTTTCGCTGCTCCTCTTTATCCTTGAATGCTTGGTTATCAAAACCTTGTTTCGGCAGCTCAGGTTTATTGTCTAAAAAAAACATAATGAGACGTATGTATGTATTGTTGTTTATATACATGGATAGGGAAAGTGGAAATGCTTGAATGAAAACGCTGACCTGAAACTGGAGTGACTGTGTTGAGCCAATAACATGGCATGAAGGGGAAGTAAAATGGGCGGCCAATTCCATATTGGCCTGTCTCGCATAACAAAGAGAGCAAGAATACATTTCATGTTCACACTGGTTATTTTTTTTCTATATAAAAATAAATGTTTGTCGATCAAACAGACCGGGGAAAATGTTGTCCAGGTACCAGGCAAGTACAGCATAAAGCAAGGTGTCCAGGCCCATCATGCAGATGGAGGTGAGGAATGAGAACTCATCCCCCTCCAGAGGACTAGTCTGAATGTTGTCCCACTGCAGACCCTGACCTTGCTCCTCATACCGGGATAGATACTCTGTCCCAAAACCAAAGGCAACTTGGGACATCAGACTCTGAGGGACAAGATCAGTGTATCAACATCACCCTTTTAAATATCCGGTGAATTCAAAGGTGTTCAGCAGTTCCACCTACCACCAGGATCTTCATGTCTTTGGTGATGCGATCTTGCCAAGCGAAGCAGAAGAGGTGAGGCAGGTAGAGGGCAAAATAAATGATTCCGCAGCAGGCTGCCGCCAGGTTGGCCTGGTTGAAGAAGACGCTGAGGAGAAAGCATTGCATGATGGTGGCCGTGGTGAAGGTGAGCAGAAAGAGAAAGAGGATGAGGGGGTTGCTGTAGTTGAGTACCCTTCCTCCCTGCAAGCCAGAGTCATAAACAAGCAAGGGATGTTAATCGCATCTGTATTTCGCAATGTCGTGGACACAGCACCTTTTGTATGTAAGGTGTCGCTTAACCTGATCTCGAAAAGTGACGTCACATTCCTCAGATAAGAAAAAATGTCATCGATAAACATAATATCCCAAGAGGCATCTTCCACTTGTAAATCTACCATGAATGGTGGATTGAACTTCAGGTTGCATGACAAAAGTCAGCTTCAATCAAACTGTTAACAGTTTTTGGAATGAAACGTGAGGAAAAATAACAACTCTGGCCCAGGCTAAGATTTCAAGTAGTGCAAAAATTGGAGTGAAAAAAAAAAATACTGTACATTGTTTTTCAGAATATTGCCACTAGGGGGCACTACAGCACACAATGTGTTAACTTGGTTAACCAGAATGACGTCCAGTTTTAATCATTGGCCATTCTTGCAAACCGTCAGAGTCGACATTATTCCCATGATGTCATGGACTTTGCTGTCATTTTGTTAATGATTTCTACATTATGTCCACAATCACTGTGCCACTCTGTGAGTCATTAAGGAGGGCACGAGAGGCGAAGGTTATCGTAGCCATCATTTGTCGTGAAATCCATGGCAGTTAACACGATGACACAACGTTATTAAGCCTAAACACAAACTTGGGAGACTGAGCTTCCGCACCATGATGATGACTGTAAGGAGAGCAGTGCTGGTACCCATCACGAGGAAGCTGTCAATAAACCAAGTGGACCAGATGACGCTGTTGGAGACCCCCATCACCTTGAGGGTCTCCTTGAGACGAAGCTCCTTTTCCAGAACAATACTTTTAACAATCATGGACACAGAGTAGACCCAGGCCAGAACCATGAAAATTGGAAAGCAGCGGTTCAGGGTCAGCATAAACCTGGACAGATGAGCAATTCAAGACAAAACGACCACAAAAATTTGAGTGGTGTTGCCGTTTGTGTTTTGTTGCGATGCGTGTGTGCGCGTCTACTAACAGATCATCCACATAACAAGGGTAGGGCATCTGTTGCAGGTAAACGCCCAATGGCCACTCTTTCCCCGTCTGAGTGCGAATGATCCCCTGTTCTATTATGTCCTGAAGGTAAGCGAACCCTCCCCAAACATAACGCAGGTCATCCATAGGATCTGCTCTGGGGCCCGGATCCCAATACCTGAAAGAAATACGTTATTATTCTCGAAATCGATACATAAAAGAAAAGGATTGTCACACTTCCCGATGACCTTCACGCTAACCTGTCTTTGACTTTATTGGTGCGCTCCACAGCATCGATATCCATCCGGATCTTGAACTTCACATGAGGTGGGACTTTGGCGGTCCAAGACTGCATGTTCACAAAGATGAGACCCGCCCAAAACTTGCCATTCTTCAATAAGTCCAAGGCCCGATAAGTTAAGGTGTCCTCGTTGGGCAGGGCCACAAATTTATCCAGGATCACACACTGCAGAGGAGGGGATGAGATGGAAGACAAAACATAGAATTGAATGTGAGTCAAGCATGAAGGATTGGTTGTCTATATGTGCCCTATGATTGATTGGTGGCCAGTCCCCAGGGTGCAGTCTGCCTCTCGCCCAAAAGTCATCTCACCCGCAACCCTAATCAGACTGGGATCAAAAATGGACAAAAGAATGTTCGAAAACAACACACGTTTCATACAATTAAAAAAAAAAAAAAAAGCACTTGCTATCTTGACCCATAAAAGGGTCCCACTTAGATATCGTGCAAACAGGCCAAAACTTCCAAAACACAAAAGACACACCCGTGCGATTTGCTCTCAACTAAAGACACACTGTCAATTGACAAAGTTCCAAGTAATTCCGGCTGCAAACGCCGTCCTTAATCTGCCGGCGTATCCTCCACATCCACACTATCGGCCCAGTGTGCGGCATGATTCGCATGCATGCCAGCGCCGCGCAAACAGCCAACCACTCGGCCTTCAAACGTACAGCCATTGTCGGCGCTCCATAAAAGATGGCGGGTGAAGTGACAGCTGTGTCTAATCAGCCTGAGGCGTTCCCACTCTCGCTGTCACACTCAAGTGCTGTAAGCTTTAAGTCGGACAAAAACAAAGAGCGCTTGCCGTCCACCCAACAGTGCTTCCCGTGTCACCCCGGAGTGGGACAGACCCCCTCATCCCAGTCGGCCCCTTTAGGGGAGGGGGGAAAGGACCGATTTGGACTTTGTTTTAAATATATTGGCCCACTTAGCTATGGAGGACCCTCACCATTGAAGGTCTGTGAGGCTTTGTTTGATTTTTTTTGAAAGGCTTCCACTCCATCAGCAGTCAACAGAAGCGAGCCGACAGCTCGTCTGTTCCTCTGGCTCTCGTCCCACCTGGGGGTTGCCAAGTTTTGTCGATGGAGGACAAATTGCCAAATGAAAAGACAACTTAGCCAAATGCTCGCACCGTGTCAAAGATGGAGCACAACAGTGGTCTTTCAAGCAGGCTAATGAAATCAACAAGTGACGGGGGCTGTTTTCACTTGGATTATTACATGAATGGGCCATTCCAAGAATGTGACAGGTCAGGTGAATTGTTGCGTCAACAGTTCAAATAGGTGGGTGGCGACCACAACAAATGATCCTGACACCGTATTTTCATTTGGAAACCCGGCTTAACCCACGCATCCCCTTAAGTTCTCAAATGTAGCAGGGTTTTTTTTGTATCTGCAGGAAGGCTGAAATCACAAATGCAACAAAAGTTTCTAGGCTACAGTAGAAAAATATTTCAGACTCCACTCACATCTCCATATTGGTTGAGCATGCGAATGACACGGTCAGTGAGGTTGAAAACATCCCGCCAGTCAAAATCAGGCATGCTGTCAAGCCTCTCCTGTGGCGGACCGTTGTGCAGGAAGTTGAGGATGTGCTTGGTGGAGAACGGAGCCTCCTCAAGACTGCGGTCAATGAAATCCATAACGGAAGGATTTCGGAACGTGTCCTGGAACATAATAGGAAAGCTTACAATTGAAGGATTACACGTCCTCAACACCTAACAGTTTTTTTTTGTTTTTTTTTTGACTCCAGGACTACTTTACTATCATTTTCTATATTACTTGTAATTAGGGTTATGGGCGAGCTGATTGTGCACGGGACATTTTTCTATTCAAACAAATAAAATAATAATAATGATAATACAATACATACACAAATTGAAAAAAAAAAACCAAAAAAGTGCAAATGTCACACAACATTTACATAATGTTGATTAATTGTGCATTGTGTAGGGTTATGGGCGAGCTGATTGTGCACGGGACATTATTCTATTCAAACAAATAAAATAAATAATAATGATCATACAATACATATACAAATTGAAAAAAAAAAAGTGCAAATGTCACGCAACATTTACATAATGTTGATTAATTGTGCATTGTACCTTTTTCAACAACTAAATGACATGAAATGGAAAAAGTCCGAAATTTTGTAATCACTAATCAGCTATTTTCGCTAAAACGTGTTTTGAGTTGTCAGACAGGAATGCTCGACACACCAACAAAAACCACCTGATTATTTTGGTCATGGCTGGCACAGGATGCCAGGCGAGTGTTACGCAAGCTTTTGGATTGCCACGATGGTGTACCGTCGCCATACCCGTATCATTTTGACTTGCACTCCATCTTGGAAGAAAGCCCAGAGCTGCGGCGCCACCTCCTCCCAGGCCTTCCCCATCGTCTTCAGCCTTTGCAGTTCTTCAAATGTACTGTTGGCCTACAAGAGAGCGCAAGTACATACAGAAGGCATTTAACAATTGGTGCGCTTATGCAAATATATCCATACGTGTGTGAAACACCGCCAATCGTGCACGCTATCCTCTTAATCCTCTGCTACATGACTTTCCCACACCAAACTCTCTCCCCAAACAGGCTTTGCAAAGACAACACACACGCTCTCACACAAAGAATTTCTGTAAGCCATGCGCTTCAGATAACCAGCGAGTGTGCGACAAACACAGCCCGTGCCAAAATGTCAAATATTTACCGCAAGCTTATCGTTAAAATCCTGAATATGTGTCACTACAGTGCTTTGTGTGCGCGCGTGTGAACAGCAAACGCCGCTTGCTATTTTAGCATTCACTCATGTGCAGTGGGGGGTGAACGTGCTCAAGAGTACACCCAATTAAACGCCTTCCTCTTCTGTGTGTCTGATTTTGGGCGACAATAGGGACAATGGGGCCAGGGTGACAATGGAGGCCGTTGGTCCAATGCTTTCACCCAGACGAGTGAATCTTAGTCAGGTTCCCACATTCCCGCGGTAGTTTCAAGCAGCAGATACACAAGCAGCGAATGGAGTGGAGGGGTTCCCTGAGGTCACTCCTTGCCACGATTAACAACTAATACGGCTCCTTACATACTTGCATCGAGTTGCAGTGACTCTAATTCCGCAACCAAGTGTGGCCTTACTGCATGTTCACATGGTCCGCCTTTGAAACAAATACGTATTTGCGTTTACGTTAGAGTGTGTTCATTAAACACATGAAGTGTTTGGCATCACACAGCTCAGTGCCGTTGTTCCCAGCAAAGGCTTGAGTAAACATTGCTATTCAGCACATCCTGTCCAGTAGGTACCTATACTGCACAGTTATGCCATTGCCAACCTTTATGAAGCTTGATATTGAGGCAAATGAGTGCGCTTTGGCTGACGGCCACTGATATAATCCGACTCAAAGTAAATTCCTCTCTTATACCATTTACGTAAGAGGAAACCATTCATCGGGTGTACTTGGGAAGATGTTGCATAACAGTATGGATGTGGATTTGTATTGCCACAATTGAAATGGTCCTTTGTATTATTTTGTTCCAGTGTGTTTTTCCTCCTGAATCTGTGAGGACAAAAATAGTACAATCCCTTTGACCCTGCTAAGGGACCATATTTGGATACGTTGATTCAAATACTGCGACTATAGAAAGTGATCAAACCCCTTTTAAAAAGTGTCATCAAGATTTAATTAGGACTATTGACTGCATTTCCTTGATTGATGATAGTGAAAGTAATGGTCTTGGTTAGATTTCAAAAAATACATTTTGATACGTGACTGAAAGGCTGGCATGTGCGATCGCATGTTTTTTTTTTTTTGTAAAGGACTGACACAACACGAGAAAAGCCATGGCGCCAGTAGACTGTGTGACAGTCATCGGCGGCCGATCGGCTTGTGTTCCTCCATTGCAACCAAACCATCCATGACCACTGCCACCCCCTGAGGGGCTTTGACCAACAAGTATCTACATCTCGATACAAAGGCTGGGGACAAAACATGAGGAAAGCTGATCCCCTTTTGACAGGGGGGGGAAAGGCATTGTTCCCTGAAAATCAAAGAAGTTAGTCAAGTAGTGCATGGGCGGGCGGAGGGTGTGGGGTTGGGGGATCTTTTATCTTGAATGCTTCCGTCATATGCCTGCATTAGTATACAGGCAACACTAAACAGCTACTTACATTTCTTATGATCATTCTGACAGCAGGTGAGTCCGGGGCGTAGAGGATCTTTCCCATCAACATGGGCTTAAGGGAGTTCCATACGATCCTGGTGGCAGGGTCGGATTCCAACTCTCTCATTATAGCGTTGCAGAAAGGAGCTGGGGAGGCAAAAGTGTGCATTATATGGACCGTGCATTCCGAAGTGATGATCAAACCGGCTCACTTTTCATGCTGTGCAAGAATTCGTTCCTCGAAATAAGAGGATGCAAATAACGGGAACTCGAAATATATCTTAGACAACCACATTGCTTCCCACCAAGCATCCTGACGTTGTTTATGATATTGTACCTTGAGGGCTGCCATGAAGGCTAAAAGGTGCACAATACCTGCACTAGTTCAAATGAAACTCTTTAGTGTCTTTTGTGGAGAACAGTTAATTAATCTGTGATGGCGGGATGGTAGTTAGCAAGTCTTCCCCGCAGACAGGAAGCCCTGACGAAAGAATCTTGACTTTGGCCTTCTTCCGTAAGTTTTATCCTCAAATATTGTCAAGAAATCAAAATGTGAATTTATAAGTCCATATAAAATCGCCCAAAAGGGGTGATACATTTTAAAAGTATTGATGGCATTCCTTCAAAAACGGCACGTTTGACATGTTCTACTCACTGGTGCCGTTGTCGTAAGTGTGCTGACTCTGCCTTCTGCCACTGCTGATGCCAAGAAAAGCTTTGTAGTTGTTGTCCTCGTACCAGTTAAAGGAAGCCACTCTTGAGAAAGCCCCCTCAGTGTAGCCGCACACGAGGCTGGAAGCGGCGGCCATCACCCGCCTGAAGGACGGATCGCTCTGGAAGAGAGGAGCCAGGACCTGGATGAGCTCCCGTGTGCTGCTTCTCCGAAATAACTGGAAGGAGGTTCGGAAAAAAAAGGGAATGGTCAGAGCGGCATGTCCCGGAATGTGGAATTTTATTTTGTTATAATATACACATTTTCATACAAAAAAGGCACAAGTGGAACATCTCCAAACCGTTTTTCTACACTGTAAAGTGAATCAAATAAACTACAGTACCTTGTATTTTATATGAATGATAATAGTCATCATCATCATAGTCACGAATACTAAAAGTACTCGTATTCGGAGTACAGGTACAGTATTCACCTTCCTTATATTCACTTTGACCTCTCAGCCCCCCCACCCCCTCCCTCACCCACACAAACTGAGGCAAACGGAAGCAAGCCTTTCCTGTCTCACTCAAAATAGAAAACTGAACTTTTTGAATGGAGCTGAACGGAATTGCGCGAGTGCAGCGTTACCTCTCGCAGTTTGTCCGAGGCGGCGGACAGCACCTGGACCCAAAAGTGAATGTCGATGCCTTCCGAGTTACTGTCCAAAACGCGAGGAAGCTTGAGGAAGGGACAGAAAGAAAATGACATGGGTACACATAATAACGTGTATCCTCCTTAGCTTTTGATAGGGCAGATATAGAAACCATATCTCCTGACTAAAAGATCAGTTGACACGCACCTCATTTGAAAGAATTGAAGCATTTTGATGAGTGTTATTTCTTGTTATTTGGAGTGGTAGGAATAACATGGGAATTCAGAATGGTTATAAATACAAGTTTGAAAAAAAAAGGGCCGGAACGAACTGATGTTTGCTGTCTGTTCAGTGGTTTGCTTTGATTGGAATTTTTTTTTTTTACCCCAAATCAGAATTCCCAATTGAGAAATGTGGTTAATCTCCAACGGACATTCGTAATGATTGTCACATTCATGAATCAAAAAGTTCTTTGACGAATGAAAAGGTCACAAAAGTAGCTCGTAATAACTCAGCGCGTTTTATTCCAAAAAGCGGACCCGGGAGGATCCGTTTTGGCTCCAGACCTCAAGTTTGGGAACGACATGCTTGAGATCTTGCATACAATAGGCTAAAGGTACAGGAAGCAGGACGAGGCCGAGACAAAGACCAGTGGAGACATCCTTCCTTGTGACATATCTCTCGAGCTCAACGTGTGTGCATGCGCATATGCGGAAGTCAAGGCAAAAAAAAAAGTCGTGAACGGAATGTGATGTAACTCAAGTGTGGACGAATGAAGAGGAAGCCAGTCGCCCTCCGTCTGCAGCTTTTGTTTCCGAGCCATGGCCTTTAATCATTAAGGGAGTGTTTCAGCTCAGCTAATTACTGAAGGAGGGCGAGTCTGACAGCTCTGCTAATGCCGTTTCACAGGTTTTGAACACATGCCGAAGTATCTGAAGTATGTTAGCCCTGCAACAACTCACTTTTGATCTTGTGTTTCACGGCCAGCTTCAAGGGTGGTAAGTTGTCAGGAAAAAGATGGCAATGTGTCACCTCAACTACAGTAGTCATCAGCCGACAAATAATTTGACGGTGAACTTTGAACTTTGAATTTGGTGGTAAGTTGTCAGGAAAAAGATGGCAATGTGTCACCTCAACTACAGTAGTCATCAGCCGACAAATATTTTACAGTGAACATCAGCTAAACATTGATCCCGAGAGGAGAAATTCAACAATGCATTTTGCTCACACGCTTGGATTTCTGTGTGTTCCTGCAAACAACTGCGACAACGTGGCAGTACTTGAATCTCAGTCACCAATCTGGGAGTGCGACTGGATGCCGATGTAAAACTCCGTGCTCAGATGAGGTCAGGTGTCAAGTCAAGGGATTTTTTTTTTTCCCACACCGCGTTTGTATTGCATCCCATCTCATTGTGCAGGAGTGCCTAATGAAGTGGCCGGAGGGTAAAAACAAAACCCCAAAAATAAATACAGTTAAAATCTGCACTGACCACTCGGAAGAGCTTGAAAAAGTCAACGTTGGCATAGAACTTGTCCTCGATGATCTGCAGCCGCTGCGCGCTGAGGACACACATGGCGTTGCGGACAGCGAGAAGCCCCCTGCGGGTGGGGAAAATGAGGAATCGCTCCAAGAGGTTCAAGCTGCAGGCGACGTCCTTTAAATGCATGTTTGGAACCCCAAAGGCAAACTGGGGAAAGGGCACAGGATGGGAAATGAAAAACAAACACCCAAAAAATTCTTAATTGTGATTAATTGTGTAAGTGCTCAAAAAACATAACATAAAAATACACATTTTCCCATGAGCTCAACTCAGAGATTGAAGTCATTTTATCTGTACGCAAAAGGCCTCTTTCTCTCAAATAATTGGAATTACAATTTCTTTTGTGGATCGAGTGGCCCATTGCCGTCTTTGCAAACACTCACACATAAAAATGGAATGTTTTCTTCCACATTGCATTTTGGGAGACGGCCAAATTTAAACATGAACAGAGTCACCTGTATTCCAATCTTAATTTGGAGTTCCCATGCCCATTTTGAACCCAATCGTGTCACGTCTGCATTTTGGGAGACGGCCAAATTTAAACATGAACACAGTCACCTGTATTCCAATCTTAACTCGGTATTGAATTTGGAGTTCCAATGCCCATTTTGAACCCAATCGTGTTCACGTAATGATCATGTGTAATAACCTGTTCGGGCCTGACTTGGGCAGTGACAAGTTGATTGACCACAGATTCGGTGAGCGGAACGTCTCTCAGAAGGAATGATGTCAGCGTCTCGTCATCCTTAAGGATTGCCTCCACCTGCACTCCTCGTCCTGCAAGGAAGGGGACAAATGTGTTTGCGTTTGTTGACCACTGAGTGCTTACTCGGCTTGAAAATTCTCATGAAAGACCCTCCCATGTGATGCTCCAAGGCCCGTCCAATCTTCAATCTATTCCCACATTGAACCAAGTGCTGTACGCCCTCAATCCAAGTTCAAACCGAGATTAACCTGTTGGGGGAAGAAGCTGCGTTCACGGGGACGGCCGTGGCTCAGGAGGTAAGAGCGGGCCGTCCACCTAATCTCACATTTGGCCCTTTGATCAACATCTCTTGCAGCGTTTCGCACCCTTACACACAAACCAGTAAACCTGGGAGTGGCCCTGATGGCATTAAAAAAGTGCTTTATTATGAAAGCGCGATATAAATAAAGTTGAGTATATCCACACGAACATAACTTGCTTCCTGGTATGATCTAATGTTCTCTCCTGTGGGGCTCATGGGAGCCGAACCGCTGGTGAAATGCGGCCTCGTCTTTTCTGTGAGGCCCGTTGAATGTTACGCCATGAGAGTGGAGTGACATAACCGATGCGAGAGGGAAAGCCCTTCGTCTCTTCCCAATCCCATCGTTAAGATTTGTACTAAAAATACACGCGGCGTCATGTATCGTGTCCATGTTTATCCAAAAACGGTATCGTTGGCAGGGTGCCCCGTGAGATGGGAACTGTGGTTTTCTTGTGCCTCATGAGAAAAACTGGTCGAGGCACGTGAAGCGCTTTCCCACCAAATAAACACTGTGCCGCCAGTGAAAGTAAGCTGCTTACAATACGCATCTCTCTTGAAGCCATCTGATGTAAGCCTTTTACGGCGCAAAAGATTCACAAAAGTTCTGGTGGTTAGAAAAAGTGACAGTGAACTATTAAAGGAGTAGGAGCGCAACCAAAAGTCAGGTGCACGAACTTCAAGACCTAATATCCATCTTTTTATACACACTTAGTTGTCATTTCTTTACTTCACTTGCACACACAAACAGTGCATCATATTAATTTTTTTTTTTGGCGGGGGGTAGGGGTGTACCTATAAGGTTAGGTGACTAAATGCTGCAAATGTTATTGTAAAATCCATGTCATATAAATAATACTTTGTTTGTAATGGGCTGTCCTTACATTGAGCAGGTGAAGCTAACATTCTGCCAAGGTGTGCGTTTTCAAACACAGTTCAGTTGACAGCAACTTTAAAAATACACCGACAGGTAACTTGTGTGACGTAACTATTCATTCTCAGCATCTCAAGACAGATTGCCATTTTAGATATTGTCATCCTGATTGGAAGATTTTGTGAGGTGACTTGTACACATCAAAACCAGAGCGACCTCGCTCACTTTTCATCGAATGGGTTTGAAGAACTGACCTGAGACTTTATCGGGACGGCTACGTAACGTGTGCATGAAGTTGGTCATGGCTCTCACTTCAGACCAAAGACGTCCCACGGGTAGAAGCTTTGGATCACTGAAAAGAAGCTCCTGGGCATCCGAGTAGAAGCGGGCCAATCTGCAAAACAAGTTTCCCTCACATATTTCTTTCATTTATATTAATGCATGGATTTTTCTTTCTTTTTTTTTAATATAAAAACACAACTGATGGTTTGTTTGAGGATTGGCTCCCAAGTGCAGCACACACATCAGGATAAAGCTCACATTGAGTTGTTGTAGTTGGACACCAAGCCAGGTGATTCACCACGAGTGGGGTACTGGAAACACGGGTTGTTGGCATTACAGAAGATTCCCTGGATCCACGGTAAGATCCCCGCAGACGGCATGGCCTTGTTGGGGAAGTGGCCTGAGGAAGACCGGATAGTATCATAACATAGGGTGCCAGGAAAAAGTATTTGCCACCTTCCTGATTTTTGGGCTCCTTTGCCTATTTATCACACACACAAAGGTTTCAGTTCATCCAGGTTCTTTTGCGACTTCCTGGATAAGTCGTCCTCGCACTCTTGGAGTATACTTAGCTGGTCGACCACTCCTGGGAATGTTTGCCACTGTTCCCAGTTTGATCCTTTGTGGATAATGGCTTTGACGGGGGTTCGCTGGAGCCGCCTGAGTCTTGGAAATGGCTTTGTAACCTTTTCCAGACTTTGGATCGTGGCATGTGTTTCTCGAGCTCTCGTAGCCGACTTCGCTTTGTCTGCCAGATCCTATTAAAATGATTTTTTGATTCAACAAATGTGGTGCGAAGGTGTAGCCTCTGAAATTGCGCTCAGCTTTGCCAAAACCCTCGTTTGTCACAATTACTTTGTGATTTAACAAGGAGGGGCACTTTTCTCGTATGGACAGGTTGTTCTAGATTTTTTTTTTTTTTTTGTGCCTTAATAAATTAAATTGGCATTTAGAATCTGCGTTTTGTATTTCCTTGGGTAATCTCTGTGTGGGGAACTGAAACTTTTGCATGTGATAAATATGCAAAGAACACAGAAATTACAAAGTGGGCGATTACTTTTTAACAGCACCGTACGTGCAAGACAGAACGCTTCGCAGAGCACGGCGTTGAAGTGCAAAACCTCTGCAAATAAACTTACATTCATGCTGACGGTAGAGTGGATTCACTCTTCGAAGCCACACCAGCCCCATGAACAAAATAATTGGCCACATGATTTCCATGAGGAAGCGCACCTGGTTGAAAAGTTCAAGCGGGAAAAAGAAAATAGCATTGATTGCTTGGTCTGGAAATTTTCTCACTGGGTGAGAAATGGGACAAAACGGCAATGATGAGGCATTTTCCGTTGGCGGGGAGCACTTTCCAATCATCCAAAACGATTGTTGACATCATTCCTGTACTAATTGCAGCCGCAAGAGAGCATATCATAATTCCGCCGTTGCGGCAGCCACTTTAATTGACGCCCCGATTGTTTGCTCGGTCTCACATGCTTGAGCAAAACACCACACCCCAAATAAAGACCTTTGAAAAAAAACATCAAGTGCCCATTCTGACATTTTTAGGCTATACAGTATATTGCATTGTACAGTTTGATGTTTGCACATTTTATTTTGCTTTTCCTCTGCTGTCTGATGCTAGGTCGGTACTGCAAATGAGAATCTAACCATGAATCTAGTTGATCAAATGTTATTCCACCAATGTGTATCGTGCATAACTGAAGGATCTTATGACTCAGACAAAACCCTTAAGAGTCGCTTATATCAGCAAAGCATGAAGGCTCCCAGCATGCTAAGCGATTAAAGGCAGTGTGCAAATGATAGATGAAAGGAATTTACCCTCTGCCTCCTGCGGACGGTCCAGTTCTTCCACAGCAGGAGTTTGACCTGCGTTCCTGCCCCCATGACTCCTCCGTTTCACCCCCGGAAAGAGGCTCGGGCAAATGCACACAGGCCTGCAGCATCCAGTCAAACGTACGCCATTGAACCGCACATATCATCAAATACAAAAAATATCAAACTGACACTCCATCTATTGACATCAAGAGTTAATGATCCCCAAGCACTTATGGCGAGTGGGCCAGTTGCATAAATCATCGAACTTGGTTCTCAGCGCTGCCACTGAATGGCCACACTTCATGTCAAGTACATCAAACCACACCGCCATGTAACACTAAAATAATCATGGGGACATCAAATTCAAACACCTACCTCAGCCGAACACTTGCCCCGGTGATTGATATCTCATGAATACCGCAGAACACCACATATTCCACCGGAGGGGCTGCGGGATTGCTCACGCAGCTAATTTGCAGACCTTGTGAATCGTTAAGCAGATTGATTTAATCTCCTTTCGAGGCGCAGGGAGACGGCCAACACCTCGCATCCATGTGTGGATGCCGTCATGACCCAACCAACCACCTGGTCCGCTAATCCTGCGACTGTTATGAGCCTACTTGGCCAAATGATATGCAGTGCAGGGTGAGAAATGTCATGTAAAAAAATGAAATATGTTCACGTTGAAGTTTTTAATCACACTGCGTTTGTGTAGGGTGTGTTCAGTCGTGGTTCTTAAATGAAAACATTTATATCCATGTCAGTGTCTAGCCATAATCAGGCTATGACGCACCATTGAGAAATCAGCAGCTGCCCGGTGATAGAGAATACAAAATGGAAATGATCTCTTGGAATTTTTAACAAATAAAGAGCGAATGAAGAGCACGTGCTGGTCAAAAAAAACAAAACAAAAAAAAAAAAGGCACAAAACCATTGAGGTTGAAAGTTGTGAGATACATTTTAATAACTTACAAAGTATGCTGTCCGGATGTACCTGTCTTTTTACTAGGAACCATTTCAAGATTGCGCCAACTTTGCAAGTCACCATAAAAAAACATTTAGGATTTAAACAGTTGGCGTGGATCCTGTTACTTACTTACCCCCCACCCCAAAAAAGTAAGGTTTAGACTCATTTCAGTGATAAAAATCAAGATTTTTGTTTGGAAAAGATTCTTAGGATCACATGTTCACCCGTATAAGACGGTGTTTGTTCATGACATTCCCAATATACAGGTGCCAGACAGAGCAAGTATATTTTTAATGCTTGGAAGAGAAAACTTAACAGTTTCTTTTTTTCTCTGTGTAACAGTCTAAACAAATGATGGGAACACATCTTACACACTTCTGCAGTGATGCGGTGCACCATTTTGTTTGTTGTGGCTGCATGGTCTATTGTAACTAGTCAAATACATACTTTTTGGTACACAAACGGGCAATCTGGAAGAAGACTCCAAAATGTCCACATAAAAATGCAATTGCACAGTTAAAGAAGAATTATAAATAGTCCCGGTGCCAGTGTAGTGCTCGCGGAGTAATACATTGGCGACTGTCTCTAAAAATATAGTGTACACCCTTTTAAGTGCGTTCCGTTTGCATTTGGGGGATGCGACGGGTTTTCCTTGTCCACACACGACCGCTCATTTGTCTTTTATAGTGTAAAGTCAAAGCAGGTGTGTCTGTACGCGCTGCGGCGCGCGATTGGCATCTGGCAGCCCCAGTCTCACACAAAATGAGCTTCTCGATGTTCCACCTCTTGAAGGTGCCTGGATCTCAGTCTCGGGTACAATGGTCTCGCCTGGTTTAGGCCACCGTCCTCTAGACTTGGACTGTGGGATGGCGAGGCGGTTTCCTGCTCTGCCTCCGCATCCTCGGCAAGAGGCTCGTCCACAGAGACCTCTAGCTCCTCTCCATCCTCATCCTCCCCCTCTTCGATTTCAGCGCTGTTAGCTGATGCGTGGAGTGATTTGGCTTGACTCCCCGACGGAGGCTTATAGAAAGTTCCGGGTGGCGGTTGGAGGGTCCTGGAGGGCCGGAAACCCATTGCCACTATGTTGTACTTGGTTACATTTCCCTCCCTTCTTAATGTCCTCTCTGGTCGCAAAGACGATTGCGTTGACATGCTATAAGGTCCATTCGAGTAGGTGCTAACAGCGCTCTTGCTGGAGTCTTCGAGGGACAAGCTCGAGGATGATACTGACACAGTAGGGGGAATTCCGCTGGCATCATCTGCTGAACTGTCCGTACTGAAAACATTTTTGTTCGTTCTCGAAGCGACGTCATGGTGATTGTATTGTTTGTCCCAAGTCCTGCGCAAGGTCTGGGTGTCGATGCACGTGCGCCGGTAGTGTGTGGCTCGCAATTTGGTCATCTCGGTTTCATCCACCTCTTCGATGGACTGGATGCCGCGGTCTCCTTTTCTGTCATCTTCATGCAAGCTCGTCCATCTTGGATTCTCGTCGGCTTTTTCCCGGCCGTGGTTCTGTTCTACCGGCATGCTAGCCGGCCGGGAGTGGGCTTTGTTCCGGTGCGGTCGTAGATGCACCCTGGTCGTGGGTGTGACGTGTGGAGAGCGGATGAGGCTTCGCTCGTTTGGTTTTGGGACCTCGATGACACCGTTGCAGGACTTTGAATCCACTTGGTCGCCTTCAAAAAGAGATGGACAAAGTATGCTCAACAAGAGTATGATGGTTCAAAGCACAAATTGAACGATGCATCCAAATCAACCTGCAGATTTTGCAGAATCCTTTTCCTTAACTTTTGCAGCCAACATAATTAGCGATGTGGCTCTTCCCACAAGACTCAAATGACAAAAATATATAAAATATAATGCACTGCCTAGCATAAACAATAACTCTCAAATTCAGGTGTGTCTCTCTACATTGTGAATACATTTGACTGTTGTGGAAAACATAATGGCCAGCACTGTTTATTTTCCCTTATGTGTAATCAACATACGGAGGAGTTTCACATTCCAAATGGAGCTACTTTCCAATGAAATTCGAATTCAATGAGATGCACTTGCAGAGAAACAGATGAGAAACATAAAAATACATCTCATGCACGATTAGCAAATTCCCGCTTGGCTGTGTGGAAATACGAACCAGGTTCAAATTCTTTTCCTTCGCGGTCAGTTGGAACAAGCGGCACTGAGTACTCGTGCATCAAGTTATACAGAGGAGTGGAGGAATGTCTCTTAAAATCCCTGGAGCTCAACTGTAATGGGTAGTAGAAAATACAGAGCATCAATGCACCACCTAGAGTATTCAAACCATCAATAATTGATTTGTATTCTGGATCAGAACTCCGGCTTTACCTCCTGGATGTCGCCCACGGACTTTGAGTGCCGGCTAAGAACCTGCTCCTTTTCCGGGTCAGGGGGGCGCATGTCGAGTAAGGGTCGAGCCCCGACCTCTGAGGTTGAGTTGTCCGCTAGTGGACTGAGAGGGGTGTCGAAGATCATCTGGTAGTGTCTGATGAGGAGCTCTACAATGAGCGCCTGATAGGGGTAATCCACTACTGAGGATAGGGACACTTCGGCATCTGCCTCCCTCGGCTTGATGAGTGTCGGGCCAAAGATGATACCGAGGTTTCTTGCAGGCATCTTGTTTTCCTCAGATCGTTCCGTAACCCTGATGGAAAGGTAGACAACTCATTTTAAAAAGTCACCCTTTTCCTGATCAAATGGTCTTGTTTCCTCAGTAACCAGTCAATAAGTGATTTTGCTTTATATCCTTACATGCTATTCTATTTAACATTCACTTCAGATGCTGATCAATATGATCACATTTATTGTGCAGCAAAACAACATTTTTCAGCTGGGAGCAGCCTACCGGTGCAGATGCTGTATGAGGAACTGCAGTGTCTTGTAGTGAGCGGGCGGCAGTTCCTTGAGGAGGTCTTTGAGCTTGAAGAGGATGCGGTTGAGCTCCACGCCGACCTGAGCCGGCGGCACTGGGGAGGAGCTGAGGCGAGACGCCTCCAAATCCTCCACAATTCCACTTTGGCTTTCTTTGGCCAAACCGATTAGCTCATTGTAGTAGCGGAAAAGGATGAGTGGCTCTGGAAGCTGAAAATGGGCAAAGGATCACAAGTAACCAAGAAGGTAAATGTAAAAACAACCTTAGTGTTACAGAGCTTATTCAGAGAGATTTACAAATGATACTTCAAAGTACAGTAGATGGTCAAGGCAGGCCTACCTGTCTCAGGTAAAGTTTGAGCACGTTGCTGATGTCGTGGGGGTAAAGGTCAGACATCTCAACCAAGTCCTTGCCATTCTCAAATGCTTGGCACAGTTTTTCAACGCGTGACTTGGCACCGTTCAGGCGGTAGATACCCTTTGCGGTCCAAAACCAGTTTAAAATGAAATGCAATTCACACGCAACACATTCTTTTGAATCATACAGAGAGCATTGTCAAAAGAATATTTAACCGAACCTTCTAGCAAGGGTTAAAATGCATAAGATCTGGAAATACCTTCACGTTGAGCGCCCTGGTCTCGATCTCCGACGTACATTTGCGGATGATGAATGGGATGCCGTCCTGGCTGTTCTTGGCGGTCTGCATGAAGTCCACACCGAAGAGGTGAAGCTTCCTCTGGAGCTTCTTATGGCCACACTGGATGGCCAAGCTCTCCAGGCACTTCTTATGGCAGGCTAATGAGCACTGCAGACGCATGGAGACGTTTCACTTCATTATTTCAACAGTATAGTTATCGAGAATAAAGCGCAGATCACACACAACATGGAGACAGGAAGACAATTAGCCAAACACACACGCAATTCCATTTCATAAACTTATTCAAGCCCATATAGTTTATGAACATGCAACCCACCATTTTACATTTCTTCAAGCTAAATGAATTCAAACCATTAAATGCAGCTGGTTCCAGCTTGCACGACGAAATATCCACTCCCCCCAGCAACCTTATCTGGTCATTCTTGAATTTAAAATTAAAAAAAAAAAAAAAGGCCTTCCCGTTTTCTCACATCTTGAACTCATTTCATGGAGCCTTTCAAAGAACTGAAGCGGTGCAGCATCCGGGCCTTTTTCAGAGCGCTGTCGGCCTCGTGCTTGAAATGCAAAGAACATTTGGCGCAAAGCGGAATGAGCGAAAACTGTACCAGCACAAAGTGCACCGTAACGTGTGTTTGTTTAACGGCTGCAGATATTTTCACAATTTCCAAAGGCGTTCATTTACCAAACCTCTGTTGTAAATTTTTTGACACACCGTAGATAAATTACCATTTTCTTTTGCTGTCTCTGCCACTGCTCCTTCATCTCTTTTCGCAGTTTGTCCAATTCATTTTTTCGCGTGTTGCCGTCTTGCATCACTCACTTGTCAACACACCCAAGCAACATTACATAACCCACATTTCAGGGGAGAAAAATTCCATTAATCCTTTTCTTTCCCCTTTGTTCGAATACAGTATCTTATAAATATGGAAAGAAACTTGACCGACAAAAAGCACTCGGGGGGGCACACAGGGGTGATGAGCTCTTTATAAGTTGGACAAAAGGTCTTTAGTTTCCATTGGCTTTTTCCCCTGACAAAGTCAAGTTGGTTTATTCAAACCCAAAGGGGAATTTGTGGCACGTTTCAACTTTTCCCTTTTATTCTGATGAGTGCAGGGGTGGTCATTCTTTTTTTTTTTTTTTTTTTGGTGGGTCATCAAAAGTGAAAAGGAGCTATTGTGAAGCTCTGGCAATGGTCATCTGAAACATTCTTCATACTCAAAGAGTCCCAAAGCCGCTCATGATTGGATTTCCTTTTGCACCAAATTCAATTGGCGGAGGGTGTAAATAAATAAATACATAAAAGAAGAAACCATGGTTACCTCCTCACACTCTGCTCCTTGAAACACGACCAGCCCATCACATTCTCGACACTTGGAGAAGGCTCGAAGTTTTCTCAGCTTGTGCGTTTGAGCAGCTTTGGACATCTGTGTGTTTCTAAAAGGACGTGGAGAGCTGGCCGTCTCGATTAAAAGATCCCCTAAACCTGAAACGTGTGCAACATAACAACTGAGTAATGCACGTTCAAAATGCTCAATCGACATTTGCGACTGTTTAGCTGTTACGCACCGTTATCGGAAGGAGAGTTGGGCTCATCCAGGTCATCAGCGGACGACATGGTGCCGGTCGAGGGGGACCTGGGTAATCTCCTTTTAAAGTCTCCTGAACAGTGTGACAGGACACACCAGTCAGTCCACATTTCTGCAGTCAATTCAAACCGATTCAAGCCAACTTTCTTTGGCACTTCCATACAACAAACGAATGACATCCAACAGGCGACATTCAAGTCACGCTGCGGTCGAACTTCAAATGGAGGTTCACTGCTTGCCAAGTGGAATGAAGGCTGTCGAGTACAAATGAATATTTGCTATCTTTTTGATGGCGACTGAGATGCCGGCGTGTCTTCACCTGGGCTCGCAGTGGGTGAGTCCATGGATCGGGACTCGCTGCTCCCTCCTACACTTTCAGAGTCGCTACACATTCCTCCACCCTGACTGGAATTCCAGGTACGAATCCGAAGTGCTGGTCATCAAAAAAAAGATCATTCCGAGATCAGTGACGTTCGCCATGTTTGCCAACGGCAGTGTCGTGTTTTTTTGTTTTTTTTTCTCACTCAACCCAAAATCACAATAAAACCTAATCATCAGGATCGGAAATACCTTGGATGTCAGTAGTGCTGTTGGAGCGTCGCTCCGCAATCTTGGCTTGCTGGGTGCTGTTGGACCCGTCATGATCGTCTTTGCCAAGGAGGTCGGATGTCATGGATCCTTGTGACAGGTTGATGTGGGAAGAGTGACTGCCACTTATTGTGTACTGGCTGAGAGGCATTCTGGCAGAGGAGATGACGCATTGAAAATGATACGATGTCTGTCATACCAAAGGAGCAAGAAGAATATGTTTCGTTCCAACGGGTCCAAAAAAATAAGACGCTCAGGCAGTATCAGGGAAAGATGACGCATTGAAAATGATACGATGTCTGTCATACGAAAGGAGCAAGAAGAATATGTTTCGTTCCAACAGGTCCAAAATAAATAAGACGCTCAGGCAGTATCAGGGAAGTATAAAGAAGGGTTTCTCATATTTTCTGAGGAGTCCAAACATTCGCTGATTGTCAAATAGTGCAGCTTTCAAGTGACATATAAGCCAGGCAAGAAGCCTGAAGAAAGCAGGAGTCACCATTCGGCTCAGTCATTCACACCATTTGTTTTGACAGTTTGTAGGCCAGATGTCCTTTCCTGGCTCAGTCTTACAAATGATTCGGGTTTGGGACCAACACAAGAGAGCTCTAGCAACGGGCGACGTGATGCGGTACTGGCTCGGAATCCGACACGACACACAATGTCTCACCCTGTGCTTGATGAAAAAGCTGAATCCAAAAAGTGGGACTCGGGGGGCAACCTCCGGACGAACTCAACATAGCGATGCCCAGGCTCGTACAGTTTGGCATTTTCACAAAGACTCTGGTGCCTGGCAGGAAGTGACACAAGCTGGGCCTGCTGGAGCTGGAACCAATTGACCGTGACCTTGAACAGAGAACGTCATTCTGCTGTCAGGTGCCGATCGAATCATATTCCGCATACGACGGACGTTATGTGCGGGACGTTACCGACGCTTCAAGATGAACTTGACCAAAGAAACATTTTTTAGACATACCGCTTTCAGGGTGAGGTCGCATTGGAAGACCATCTTTCGGAGCTGAGTGATGATGTCACTCTTGGTGTTAGCCAGATCGACTCTTTTTTCCACCACGTCATTCTGACAAGCTTCGCGGTGTGCCCTCGCTTCGTCAGCCTGAAGCGGAAGGAAGACGAAGGATTCTCGAGTCGGGCTCAAAATAATGCTGCTGCTCGTGTGTTGACGACACATTCGTGTGATCAACCAACCTTCTGCAAGGCCTCTTCTTCCAACCGGCGCCGCTTTTCTAGTTGTTTGACAGCCGTTGCTCCTCCGACTCCTCCCAGCTGCTCCCCTTCCAAGCGGCTGGTCGATACCTTGGCCTTTTCGTACTCCTCTTGACGCTGATCCTGCAGCATCCGGGCCTTTTTCAGAGCGCTGTCGGCCTCGTGCTTGAAATGCAAAGAACATTTGGCGCAAAGCGGAATGAGCGAAAACTGTACCAGCACAAAGTGCACCGTAACGTGTGTTTGTTTAACGGCTGCAGATATTTTCACAATTTCCAAAGGCGTTCATTTACCAAACCTCTGTTGTAAATTTTTTGACACACCGTAGATAAATTACCATTTTCTTTTGCTGTCTCTGCCACTGCTCCTTCATCTCTTTTCGCAGTTTGTCCAATTCATTTTTTCGCGTCATCAGCGGCTAGATCAGAGAAAAAAAAAAAAAAAACAACTTAGACCACGTTAGCGCGGTTGCGTCCGTGAGTCACCAAAAGTCAGAGAAGGCAATGGGCTTTGTGGAATTACCTGCATAAATTTGTTGCTTTGGAGCACCGCCGTGGTGTTCAGTATGAGCTTGCTGTATTCAACGTCATTTTTGAAAGCAGCCATGTAGATGTCACGGAAAGGCATGAAATCCTTGAGCGGAAAGACCAGATAAGAGGAGATGGTCAAAACCAACATGGTGCGTCTGAATATAAACTGCACGTTCTTGACTCACCTGCTGACTTGCGAGGGTCTTTGCCGATTCAGCCATTTTGTTGTAGCTCTTGGCCAACTCGACATCTGTAAATACATCCGATATGCTGCGTATTAACATGATGTGGCAATATAGAGAGAACAACCTGCCCTTCATTGGGCTTGATTGTAGAAATTAAAACTTTATTTTTTTTATTGCAAAGAATAACAGGAAAGCCCACAGAGGCATTTATTTGCTTGAAATAAAGTCAAGCAATGACCTTGAATCATTCATCGTCCAATAAACCATTAGCCACAGAGGATGCGTTAAATAAACATTTTGTCGGTGTGCCGGATAACGCGTACATTGTACCACTTTACAGAGGGCCCTGTGTCACCGTGCTGACTGGAAGAATGACTAAGTGTGACAGAGAAACCATTCATTAACCACCCCGCAAAATAAAAGCCACACGCTGCATTCTCAACCTTGAACATGCAGCACTTTTGAGCGCAGCTTAGGCGAGGCCACAATGGAAAAACATACCAACAAATTGACCTCAAATTCCTCTTCCAATTTTTAATATGTTGTCCAAGCAGTATATGTCTAGATGGGATTGAGAAATAATAGGGGTTTAAAAAAAAGTAATTTCCTTATGGGGAATTATGAAGTATAATGCATCTACCTATCAATTTTGTTTTTAAGAATATGCTAGATGTATTCCTGAAGAAATTCTGCTATAATAGGCACCTGTGGTTATTTTTAGAGCTTGCACTTTGAGCTAATATTGCATTTGAGGACATACAATTTGCAGAATAGGAACTTAAGAAGGTAAGGAAAAGACCGATAGATCGAAAGTCCAACTCGGCCAGCTATGTTCAGCGCCTATCATGCCACCTCCCACGATAATACCGGCACATTTGGGCTTCTGTGGCACGGCGGCAACATGAAACACTCACAATTACCCATCCAAGCCGCAAGCCTTCCTTGACTCACCCATATTAAGACGTTTCTCCACCCACCCCAGCACTTCTTTGGTGTATTTGGACCAGGCCTTGGCGTAGCCAAGTGCCGACTCCACCCCGTTGACGTGCTGCTGCAGCGTCCTATCCACTTCTTCGACCCGAAATGGCGGTCCTGTTACGAGCACGGGAACTGCAAGAGGGAAGGTTATCAAATATGGACTTAGGCATGACTGGCAAGGTTTCTCTCAACGCTTCGTAGCATTACATGTGTTTGGCGATATCTGTGACTGTGAACCAACGTACGGAGCCCACAACGACCTTGAGTGAGAGCCATACAGGCTAATACCATTGGAAAATAATTACGGCCAACTGAGTGATGCATGGGTTAAGAAGTGGTCATCCAAAACTCAAGAGGTGCAGCCACTCAGACGGATATCAAGTGGAAAATCTGATAAGCGAGAATTACTCTGCCCAATAATAATCATTTTTTTGTTTTTCCACCCTCCGACGAACCTGCCGAACATGAGACATTCTCGGATACTCGCTTGTTTTCGTGCAAAAGCAAAATGCATTCTGTGAGGAGCGCTATCTTACCTGGCGGATCATCTTTCTCAGAGCCGGATCCTCCAGATTCCACGGGCAGGTTGTCAAAAGACTGAAACCAGATGAAAATGAAAAATAAAAATACAATAACAACATAACGACACGACGTCTTCGGCCAACCAAATGGCACGGGCGGTAGGTAGGCACAGCGGGGTTGCAAGTAAACATGCTATTGATATATCATTTTGAGTTGTCAAGAACAACATCCTATTTACGTATGCGACCCCAATGAACTCAACTCTGCCCCCGATTCTTCAGACCATTGAGCTTGACAATTCAGGCCAGTAGGGCACATCCTGGTTTTAATGGGCCTGTGGATGCATGAACTTTGTGCAAATAACCCACTCGAAATTTCACTCGTCCCCTTTGATGCCTATTGTGCAGAAGTAATTCCAAGCATCTGATTGCGGGTGACGTTCACTGCTACCCATATCATTCTGTACGCCACTTACCCCGCGCGTCTTAGTTAGGGGGAGCCCTAACACTGATCCATTCTCTACATCTCCCATAAGGAAGTCAGACACACTGGAAAAAAAAAATGTTACATCTTAAAATTAGAATTATCTACATCGTCTCGTCATGTGGAATGATCATCATGATACCTACACATCGCCAACCGTGAATGCCAATTTGTCGATTGCAGAGTAGATGTCTCTCAAAAGACTCTGCTTGTTCTCTTCATTCCCCTGCTCAAAATTCACTCCTGTCAAATGAAAATGAGAAGTCAGGCTTCCAGCCGTAACATACATTCAGCAAATTTAATCAAGAATCACTGTTTTTGCGTGCACAAAATAGACTATGCTGAACATTGCTGTCTCAAAATAACAGAACCGCATAAACAAACTTTGTGTGTCGGCACAGAAAGGGTAAACCAAGATTGCAAGTGTATATAAATGGGCTGTAATCTGGAAATCCAGTAGTTTCCTGCGGCAAGTCAAAACACGGTGATGACTGAAGACAGAATGGGGGAAAAACACCAATGTAAATATGGTGGGAATCAGTCTTCACAATAACCTTCCTGTCCTGACCGTGCAGAGAAAAAAACAAACTAGATGCTCAGAAAGCAAGCCTAATAAATCAGTGATGTAACTGGCTGTTCCGCCACTTGCTTGAGGAAACTCTGTCTTTCCTTCCTTTGGAACAGTGGATATTTCTAGAGTTCAAGACTCAAACCAACCAAATTCTCCTGAAATTTGCTCCAAGAAAGCAGGGAAACGATGCTAGTTTGGTGACAAACGAAAAACGAATGCTTTTCTGAAACCTGTGAAGGAAGCTTCAGACAACATGACATCCATCGATCGCACCAAATGCCAAGACACGTTTTGTAACAAATAGATGTCAAAGACACCTGAGCCCTGAAAAGCTATACATACCTGGAATGTAGTATTTTTTTTTTTGCCCCCACCCGCCTCAACCTTGGTCCTGTTCAATGGACAATCCTATTTTGATATATTACGACGATCACGTATACATTCCTCTCAAATGGGTCTGGTCGTATAATCCTCCGCAAGCAAAATTGTGTAGTGTCTCAAAAAATAAAAATTAAAAAAAAATTAAAAGGGCCAGAAAGTATGGTCTGACTTGTAGATTCGGTCCAACAATTCTCTTGGAATGTCCAATGAGCCGTGGGGTTGTCACCAGTGAACGCACGCAACTCACTTAGGCTCTCGCATCGTCTCTGCTTCTGTCCAACCCCTAACCCCTCAACAGGACATCCTGAGCCTTGTTGGAATACAATGCCAGTGCTCGCACAGGCCCCAACCAGTGGTCCAAATGCGGAAGTTACATCATTGAGAAAAAATGGTATTGTTTGAGTGGAAAAGCACAACACTCTCGCACACACAACTCAGATTGAATTCGGGTATCTGGGTAGGAATTTGACCAAAAACATGAAGGGGAGGCAACCAAATGATGCCTTGTTGTTGCTCTATCAGGTACCACAAATCACAACAAATATGCCAAATTGCTCATATTAAAAAAATGGTAAAACGGGGCAAATGTATTTGGAAATTGAGGATTATTATCAAACGGCACATGCCTTATATCTAGCCTATTCTCAAGAACATAAAGATGATCATACAAAGGATCCCCCTCAACAACTTTTTGCTTGATTGGATTTGTGTCTGTATGTTCTTTTTAGTTGACATTTCATTTCTTTTCAGAGAGAAGTAAACTATCTCAGCCCCCCTAGTGGCAGAATATATAGCACATGCATGCAGACCAGTATCACATGACAAATAAGCAAAATGGCAGATCATTTTCTTCTTTTGTGAATCAAGAAATACAATTACCACCATAGAAAAACAACTAAATTTCTGGCTTGTATTGTTAAAAAGAGTTGGTGGGGTTACCAAGACATCACAACTTACCTTTCACTGAAGTGATGACAGTCCCAACTGAACTGAGAATGTCAACCGAGTTGAGGGTCTGGTGTTTGCTGATGAATGTCATCAGGGATGCCAGCATCTCCCCGAGACGTTCGTGGATTGCTTTGTGCAGGCAAGCTTGGTGCTCTGTGAGGTCACAAAGTTGGGAGAGTTCAAGAAGCTTTCTGGTGGTCCTACAGGCTAAGCGCTTGAATTCATCTGACAAACTAGTCCTACGTGTGACCTGAATATCTTGACCGTGGTGTCGGAAATGTGAAGAGCAATTGAAAGACAGCACGATTTGACTCATGAGTCAACATTCATCCCTTTTTGAAGTAAACGTACGATGGATTTATACAGGATTGAACGTAATATGCTGGTACACTGGCTAGGGGCCGCTCTGGCAGTCATAAAACAAGTGAAAGTTGTTATGTTGCTCGGCAAAAGCGTGGACAAAAAAAAAAAATCCTTAACCAGGAAGCATGACAAGACAGTGACGATTGGGGATTCCCCCTGATAAATTGATCAAGAGTGCAGAAAATTACGAACCAGCCTTCCGACAAACAAATCCTACTGCCAACAGGGTCACTACATAACATTCCGCCTTTGCTGGTTTAAAGGGTGGCCATGGCAGCCACGTCAGACAACGACCGTCCGTTCACAGCGGTTGTGGTCAACACTAAAGCAGTCAATGGCCTGTCTAGGCAACAAGGACATAAAGCAAGGCTGGCAGTGGGATTGCACTCCGCTCGGGAACCTACAAAGAGAACTCATACCTGAAAGCCAAGTGCATAAACAGCCACAATCTACTGTGATCGCACTACACGACAGAAGTTTGCAAGTCTGTTAATCAGGAGCCCCTTTTTAAACAGAAATGATGAGGTAAGAAAGTTCAAAAACACAGCCTGTGAAGAAGGGTGGGAATTGATGTTGTGCCATCAAGTCGGCAAGCTCAAAGAACAAAGCTCATGTCTGTGTATAGAAGGCACAACTGGCAGCTTGCTTTGTACTGTTCTGTCATGTACTCTACAAAATGGATCTCCTCTAAAATATGTTTTGATAAAAAAAAAAAAAAATGCAGTTTACTGATATGCATTTCTTGATATTTTTGGAAACCACAACATTCGTGTTACGCAACCACAGGCGGGTTGCTTACAGTCCACTTTTCTGCCCCCCTGTCCTGTTCCCCCCCCAACAAAACCACATCCCACTGACAGCCCAAAGCCACATTTGCGCTGATGATCACGCCGGGATTATCTCCTCATGGAGATGGGGATCAGAAAGACTTTAGCCGTCGCCCATTTTTCCTTTTATTCATTAGCTCTCTTTTTGGAGTGGGACAAATAGTGCAACCAGCGGGGCTAATACAGCTGGGTCGACGTGGACATATTGACAATGCTTTCTGTGGTGATCCGAAAAATCAAGCCAACTAAACAGTATGTGCCAAGTTCCCACCACAAGGTAACCCAGGTTTACCGGAAAAACGACACAAAGACGGCTGCTGCAACAAAAAAAACAAGTGAAGCATCAAAGACATCAATCAAAGATCCTGCAAAGTCAATTCACACTGGGTTTTTTTTTTTCTAAAATACATCACACGTACGTTTGAAGGTAATTGCTGAAAACGTGCAAAGACTGAGTTGCGGGGACGTACCGTAAGAGCTGTTTCTCACCATTTCAGTAGCTGTTTCTCAATTCGCGTGCTTGGGGGGGACTTTATAAAACACCATGGATGAGGATGATATTTTAGCATTAAAATTTGCCTGGTTAAAATAACAGAACCTTTTTAGAACATACTTTGGCAGAAGACCAGTGCCGTTCATTTAGGGCAGCTACAGTATCAACCTTCCATTCAAATAAAGTGCGCAGGCGCAATGTTTCGAAGTCTTTGACAAGCCGCTTCAACCTCTGTGCCCTTTATTGTTCGTAGTCAGTTCAGATAGACGGACATTCCGGTTAAAAATGACCAACTAGCTCGCGTCATCTTGGCACAGGCTTTCGAACCCATTCATTCATTGAACCGCATCCCCAGGAAAGGAGGCATAAACTTTGAGGTTGATTATGGACGACCCTCAGCCATGAATGCCCACAAGATCGAGAGGTTTCCTTTAAAAGGGTCCCATGCGCTGCAACCGACAATAGCAGATGTGTTAGCCTATTGGACCGTCCCAAATTGAGGCTAATTAGCACGACATTATGGCCGTGTGGACCGGCACAGCGAAGGGAAGGCATCAAGTAAAAAGACCGATTATTTAACCCCAGTGCTGCTTCTCACAATGCGTAGACAGCCGGTTCCCACCAGGAAGAGTCTGTTCAAGGCATATCTGACAAACACAAATTGAGATTTGGCAGCGGCGTTCTTGTTTTAAAGAGAGGATGTTCAGTTTTAAGAGAAGTTCTGGGAAGAACCTTCTGTCCACAGTCGACAGGGAAAACCAGAGTTTGAAGAACAGACATGTTTGAGAGCAGAAAACAAAACGAAACTGTATTGTCCCTGGGGCCAATAGTAAACAGTCAGACAGGTCACCTCGTGGACTTGACCACATGAAGCATTTATGGAACAATAAATTATATGAATATATGTGTGCGTGTGAGTGTGTGTGTCTGTGTGTCAGTCTTTGTTCACGGTCTGATGGTTTTTGGTGGGAGGATGGTAAGGCATGACAGGGGAGGAGTGGTGGAGAGCACGGGAGGGAAAATATGAAAGGAGAAGGGGGTTGTACGTGATTTGGGGTAGTTCTCTTCCATTGGGATTTGTCCCAACTTTACCCCTGCACAGCACATCCCCGCTATGAGAGAAGGAGTGAGAGACATTCCAGGGCATAATAAGGCCTGGTGAATGAAAGCGATGGAGGGATCAGACCTTGAGCCTGATGAGAAGGAGGCCGCGGATCAGGAGCTCCTCGCAGGCTGCCAGAAACACATTGCCAGGCTTTTACTTCATTAGCGTCATGGAAACCCAACATTCCAGCCTCTTGTTTGGTCGTGGGGATGGCAGTTGCAGCAAGGGGCGCGGGGAGCCATAATGAAAACATTCTCAGATCATTCACCATCAAAACGACACCTTCATAATAAAACATTCCGAAAGCTCTCCCCGGCCGGCTTTCGCGAAAAAATTTCTAAAGTCAGGAATTATGCAGTACGCTATAAAATACAGAATGGTAAGAGCTGTCTCCCAAACCCTCATACTTGACCAAGCCGTAATCTCCAGATATCAGCCATATCTTTCAGGCACCAAGTATCACTAGAAAATGATGTTTGCAGTTGATGACTCCATCCCAGTAAATATTCTCTGCATTTTCTCATGCATTCCACCACACAAGAAGATGGCAGCGGAATCACAGTAGAATGCACAACCACATGAGGAAGCCGGGGAATTACTAATTAGGGACGTTGCATCATTGAGCCGGGAGTGCCTGAGACAATATGACTTGGCAACATTCCATTCGCTGAGACCCGAGCTCTGCTCAATTATGCACTGCAAATCACGAGTCGTATTCTTGATGGTTCAAGACACCTGAGAGTGGGCCATGGTGCTGCTTGCCACAAAGACAGCGTGAAATCACTTATCGTGTCACAACTACGCCTTCCAAATACGGATCGCGCGCAGGCGAGCCGCGGCATAGGTGGGCTCGTAACTAATTACAATGCTCAACCAAAACGATTGAAAGTCGAAAGAGTCAAAAATTTGAAATGATTTGCTACATGGATAGATTATTTTGCGATTTGCCTCAACATACAACCACATCCCCCCAAAATTACCCAGGAAGATAGAAAAGGATATCCTTGCTAATTATGAAATATTTATGAAGGAGGTGTTTCAAAGTGGGCCACTTCACCTTTAGCACAAAGATAGATTCATT